ACTTAGGTTGTTTCCAACTCTTGGCTATAGTGAATTGTGCTGCAATGAGCTTGGGTGTGCAAATATCTATTCGTGTCCTGGATCTCACCTCTTTAGGATATATTCCTAGTAATGGAATTGCTGGATCAAATGGTATTTCTATTTTCAATTTTTTAAGGAAACACCATACTGTTTTTCACAATGGCTGTAGCATTTTTACAGTCCCACCAGCTGTGTATGAGAGTTCCAATGTCTCCACACCCTCACCAGCATTTATTTTCTGTCTTGTTGAACTTTGCTATTATTAACTGGGGTGAGATGATATCTCATTATTGTGTTGATATGCATCTTTCTAATGGCTAATAATTTTAAACATTTCCTCATGTGTTTGTTCTTGCCACTTATATATCTTCTCTAGTGAAGTGTCTGTTCATGTCCTTGGTCCATTTTTGAATTGGATTGTCTTTTTGATGTTTAGGTGTTGAAGTTTTCTATAAATTTTAAAGATAAGTCTTTCATCAGATGTGTCATAGCCAAGTATTTTTTTCCCAATCTGTAGGCTCTCTTTTTACCCTTTTGGAGAAGTCTTCTGATGCACTTAAGAATTTAATTTTTAAAAGGTCCCAGTCATCTACTTTCTCCTCCACTGCTTGTGCATTTGGGTTATGCTTGATAGACTACTTAAGCCATACATGAGGACCCATAGGTTTGCCCCCATTTTATCTTTGGTTTTGGGTTTTACATTTAAGTCTTTGATCCATCTTGCATTCATTTTTATGTATGGTGTGAGGTATGATGTTGTTTCCTTCTTCTTCAAGTGGAGGCTATCTCTTCCCCATTTAATGGGTTTTGGCCCTTTGTCAAAGATCAGCTGTCCATAGATGCATGGGTCTATTCTAAGTTCTCGATTCTGTTCCACTGGTCTATTTGTCTATCATTGTACCAATACCACACTGTTTTGACTACTGTGAGTGTATAGTAGGTTTTGAGATTAGGGACTGTGAGACCTCCTACTTTGTTTTTCTTCTTCAGCAGTGTTATGCTTATCCAAGGTCTCTTTCCTTTCCATATGAAGTTAGTGATTGGTTTTTCCATGTCCTTGAAGAATGCTGATGGAATCTGGATCAGGATTGCACTGAATGTATAAATTGCTTTGTGTTGTTTTGACATTTTCACAATATCCAGCCTTCATTATCTATGAACATGGCATGTTCTTCCATTTATGTAGGTCTCTTAACAATTTCTTAACAGTGTTTTGTAGTTTTCTTTGTATAGGTCTTTTGTGTCCCTGATAATATTTATTTCTAAGTATTTTATCTTTTTGGTAGCTATTGTCAATAGCACTGTTTTCCTTATTTCCTTTTCAGAGATCTCTTTGTTGATGTAGAAGAATCCAACTTGATTTTTGTATGTTGATCTTGTATCCTACCACACTTTGCTGAACCTTTCTATTAATTCCAGTGATTTTCTTGCTGAGTCTCTTGGGTTTTCTATATACTGGATTATATCATCTGCAAAGAGAGATGGCTTTACTTCTTCTTTGCCAATCTGCATGCCTTTTAATTCTCTTTCTTGCCTTATTGCCCTGGCTAGGACTTCCAATACAATGTTAAATAGAAGTGGAGATAGAGGGCATCCCTGCCTGGTTCCCATTAGCAAGGGGAGTGCTTTGAGTCCTTCTCCATTGACAATAATGCTGGCTATTGGTTTTGCCTATTTGCCCTTTATTATAATTGAGGATTTTCCTTTCTATTCCCATTTTGCTAAGAGTTTTGAACATGAATGGTGTTATATTTTATCAAATGCCTTTTTTCTGCATCAACTAATATGATCATACAGTTCCTTTATTTATGTGATGGATTACATTAATTGTTTTCCTGACATTGAACCATCCTTGCATACCTGGTATGAATCCCACTCGGTCATGGTGTATTGTTTTTCTGATATATTGATGGATTCTATTGGCTTGGATTTTGTTGAAGATTTCTGAGTCTATATTCATGAGGGATATTGGTCTATAATTTTCCTTTTTAGTGGTGTCTTCACCTGGTTTTGGTATCAGGGTTATGCTTGATTCATAGAATGAATTTGGGAGTACTCCATCATTCTCTATGTGCTGAAATAGTTTGAGTAGCATAGGTGTCAGCTCTTCACTGAATGTTTGATAGAATTCTCCAGTGAAGCCATCTGGGCCATGTCCTTTGACTTCCTGACTGCTGCTTCCATGAACATTGACTGTGGTTCCAAGAAAAAATGAAAACTTCAATTATTTCTCTGTTCATCATGATGTTGCTTATGGGTTCAATTTTAAGGATTTTTGTTTTATGTTGAGGTGTAATCCATACTGTAGGTTGTAGTTTTTATCTTCATAAGTAAGTGTGTCAGGTTTTCCTTGCTTTCAGCAAGCAAAGCTGTGTCATCTGCCTACTGCAGCTTGTTAATGAGTCTTCCTCCAATCCAATCAGTTATACACACATATGTATAATCTCATTGTGGATCTAATAGGTTCTTTTATAGGCTGGTCTAGCAATAACACTATTGCATAACAGCTTTTATGCAAATGTATTCCCACATTATAAACAACTAGCATTTGAGCAAACTTTTGGAAGATCTTTTTAAAAAGTGGGAAGTTTCCAAATGCAGAATGTGATTTTCCTTCTTCCTTCATTCAGCAGGATCTATGCCAGAAGGAAAGGTTTAGGCACACAAACTGTGAGAAGGTTTTCTTTACAACTGGCTGGATTATTCCTAAAATGTACTATTTGAGGAATTTAGACACCATTATATATTATTCCTCCTTGACTGAAGTCTTAACTGATATGTAATCTGGGCTTTAAGCTTTATTCAAGAGAAGGTACTGATGATGATTCATGAAAAATAATAATAACCAACACACAGAATCTTTTATGGCTTCAGTTTTTTTAACTACAAAATCATATTCTTCACTACAGCATCCTTCTACCAATATTGACAAAACTACCACCAAAAGAACATTGTCTTTGTTGTCAATTCTACCAAAAACCAATGAAACCCACTGCCATTAAGTCAATTCTGACTCCTAGAAACCCTATAGAACAGACTGTTCCATAGGGTTTTGTTTTTTTTTTTTTTTTCCTCCTCTTCCATAGGATTTTCAAAGCTGTAAATCTCTACAGATACAGACCAGGTCTCCTCAAATGCTAAGGATTAGAAAGAATACCAGGATTTAGCCAAACTGTGACAGAAATTTTTGTCACACGACAGTATGCTTGCCCACTGACTGTTAAGTTCAAATCACCAACATTTTGATTAGCAACCCAGGATTTTAACCACAGTGCCACCAGAGCTCCTTTACCAATTCTAATAGGATGAAAAATAACACTGTGTTTTTTTAAAAAACTAATTAAAAAGAAGGAGCTCTGGTAGCATAGTGGCTAAGACACTTGCCTGCTAACCAGATGGCTGGTGGTTCAAACCCACCAGCCACTCCTCGGAAGGAAGGTTGGGTGATCCTACTTCCGTAGTGATACTGCCTTGGAAACCCAAGGAGGGGTCGCTATGAGTCGGGGCCGACTCGATGGCACATAACAACAACAACAACAACAACAATAAAAAAGAAACTTAAATTTCATTCTAACAAATTTCTTTAGAAGCAGAAATATTTATGAATTATGGCCAATGATCTATTATAACCATTATTATATTACTAATGCACATTTTTACCATAAAAAATTAGTATAAGACATCTCTTATTATTGGCAATCAAGCCATAAACAAAAATATTACATCTAATTGTTAAGTACTGTTGTTGTTAGATACAACTGAGTTGATTCTAACTTATAGCGACCTTATATGACAGAGCAGAACTGCCCCATAGGGTTTCCCAGGCTATAATCTTTACAGGAAGGAGTTTTGGTGGTGTAGTCCCTAAGGCATTTGACTGCTAACCAGAAGGTTGGTGGTTTGGACCCATCAGCCACTCTATAGAAGGAAGATTGGGCAATCTACTTCTGTAAAGATTTTTCACCTTGGAAACCCAAAGAGTGAGTGACCAAAGAGGGTTGCTATGAGCTAGAATCAACTCAATGACAGTGAGTTTGGTTCCTTTTGTGGTTTTGTTTTTCAATCTTTACAGGAGCAGATGCTAGGCCTCTTCTCCCACAGAGCCGCCAGTGAGTTGAAACCACTGAAATATTGGTTAGTAGTTGAGGACTTAACCATTGTGTCACCAGGCCACCTTAATCGCTAAGTACTAAAAAGAAAACAGGAATTCAGCTAAACTGTGACAGAAATTTTGTCACTTGACAATAAATTTGCCTATTTACTGTATGTCTCTTCTGAAAAACCCTAAACTCTGTAAGAGAAGAGACCTTGTCTGTTCTGCAAATGGCTCTTCTGTACACAGATGTGTATTTTGTACATAACTGCATCTCACACCTACAACAGCAGGCATCCAATCTATCACTGAAAAAATGAATCAATCAAGCACTTTTCTGTAGGGCTGATATCTAACACTACTTATATCTAGGTAAAGTTTGTGGGGAAGGTGTTCTTTTATATGACCGTAGCTTTTGCTGCAGGATATCTAAGAAAGATGTTATTTATAAACTAAAATATAGAGTAAAAAAGTTCTCCTATCTTTTAAACAGGTCCTAAATTTGTAAATTCTGGAAATTAAACATTTTGAGTTTTTCCTAACAAAAAATTTTCTTATTAAATAACTCACAGATACCAGTAGCCTGAAATCTTTCATATTATCTTATTACTTATGTTGTTGTTGTTGTTGTTATGTACCATCAAGTTGGACCTGACTCATAGCAGGTACCCCCCTTGGGTTTCTGGGGCAGTATCACTATGGAAGTAGATTGCCCCATCTTCCTTTCAAGGAGTGGCTGGTGGGTTTGAACCGATTACAGCCTTTCATGTATCTTAGATTATAAAAATGTAAATTTAAAATATTCTAAAAGCATATGGTCTTATAATAAATGATTCACTTTCCTAAAGACACTAGCTCCCATTTTGTTAAAAAGTTTTAAATTTACCTTTCCGCAGTAGCAGACTCATCAGAAAATTCAGGATCTGCTGAACTTTTCCTACTGTTATTTGACCTCCAAGATGATGCCAAAGGAAGTTCTTCTGAAGACATAGGTCTTGGCCTTTGGCCAATCCCAGATGGTTGTTGTAAACCTGCAGACTGTTCTTCAGTGCTTAAAACAGCAATAATTGCTCTTATCGTAGCTTCATCAACTTGAGACCAAGGTTTAGATGGAGCCCTCATTCGGCGCAAAAATAAGCTATGCCACTTCTGTCTGAGTTGCAATAATAAACTGGCTACCTATAATAAAGAATTTCCTCAGTTCAAATAAATACAAACAAAAGGTATTATCACACATGGAAAACATCTATTTGTTCATAAGTTAAGGTCTGCAACTGTTTCCAAAGAACACGTTTTACATTTTATATAACTTACTACTAATTTCATTGTTTTTGCTGAATAATGAAATAAAATTATTCACCACATGCTAGCCATTAGAGACACAAAATTAAATCAAACAGTTCAATCACAAAGGAGTGATTAACACTAGAAAAGTATCAGCAAGGTAAATAAAGGAAACTATATTTAGTTCTATTCACACTGTATTTGAGTGCCTGTAAAACACTCATATTGTGGTATCCAAAATTCAGCTGGATTCAAATAAATCCAGAGCTCAGGAGAAGGGCCTATGCTGTAGATACATACTTAACAGTCATCAGTGCCTAAATGGTAACTAAATGTACACACAGAGGTACAAGGTCCCCAAAAGCTATGGAAAGAGAATGAGAAGAGCAAAGCACACAGTACTGAAGAACATGTGACATTTAAGGCCCAAAAATGCATATGGAAGAACTAGTGAAAGACCCTAAGAAGGAATAGCCAGAAAGAAAGAAGAGGAATCAGGAAAGATTAATGTCACATTAATTAGTGGCAAAGTCGGGGCAATGGAGAAAAGGAAAAACAGGGAAAAGCAAAATTTCAAGGACAATACTGTCAATACTAGAGAGAGGTCAGATTTATCAAGGACAGCCAATTGGTTTTGACAACATGGAAGACACTACTGATCATAGCAAGTACAGTTTCAGTGAACTGTTAGTATGGATAAAAGTGAGACTGCAGTAGGCTTAAGTGATGAATGAGTGAATGGTGGAAAAAAAAAAAAGGTAAACCTTGCAAGTATTGACCATTGACAGCCTGGCTGTCAAAAATTGAAAAGAAAATAAAGAAAGAAATAGATATAGAATAATCTTTAAAAGTAGAGATGGAATTAAGGGAAAGCTTTTCAAGGAAACTTTTAACTTGTAAAGAAACATACATACATCTGAACTTACAGGTATATGAAAAGAAAAAACAGAATGAAGTCATATCTTTCTCTTAGAACAGAGTTATATACAAGTTAAGGAAGTTCTCATGTTTAAAAAAAAGGAGGGAGGGAGGAGTTCTTCTGTAGACAATAGTCAATATTTCCTTATAAACACAAAAATACTCAAATATTACAATGCTTAAATTCTAAGTTACACTTAGGTTTTTCAAATCTTCTATTGACTAAACTTCATTGGTAAAGAATGCATGAGGACTCTATGAAAACTGAAAAACAAGCTTTATTCTTTAATACTAAGGGCTCAATATTAAAGACAAAATTTATCATGATATATCTCAATTCATATTAAATGAATGAAATAAATTTGTTATACTACTGAAAAGCAACTTACCTCTGGATCCAGTTTGAAATTGAGCCACTCATCAAGTTTCAAAGTTGCTAAATTAGCAGTTGTTCTATCCTCCATTTCACTATCACTACTGTCATTAGGAATACCATCTGCTGTTAAAACATGTATTGAAAGAAAAAAAAACCTCTCATTTTTACCATCTTATATCACAACAAAAAAGTAAGCAAAATAGGTATTTGTTAACCCAAATCCTCCTGATTACTAACAACTTACATGGGGAGTTTTTGAAGCCCAAAAGATCACAAATTAACTCTCAATACTTAACAGAATAAATTTTTAAACACACATTTTAAAAACTATAATCTGTAAATCACAATATAAGAAAACAAAAAAAGACCAAGAACTTAAAAATTAAAACACAATCTTTAAATAACAACTGAATAAATAAGAAAAATTAGGAGCATAATTAAATATACAAGACACTATATATGAAGAATGTGGCCAAAGTAATAGTCACTTAAATTCATAGTTTTCTGTTTAAAATTAAAACTACATATCAAAATAAATCTTAGAAAAATAGCAAAGAATCCAAAGTAAAAAATAATAACTTAGAAAAGACAAAATGCTAATAATAGTAATTAAAAGTATAACTCAGTTCTTTGAAAAGATTAATAAATAGAAAAACCCCAGGTAAATTTAATAAAGAGAGCTTTATCCACCTATTGCCATTAAGTCGATTCCAACTTATAGTAACTCTATGTAGGACAGAGTAGAACTGCCTCATACATAAGGTTTCTAAGGCTGTAAATATTCACAGAAGCAGACTGCCTCATCTTTCTCCCATGGAACAACTATTGGCTTTGAACCACCAACCTTTTGATTAGCAGCCCAATGCTTTAACTACAGTGCCCTTAGAGCTTCTTAATAAAGGGAGAAGAAAGCATAGATCTACCTATGCAATCAGAAGTGTGAATAAGAATATAAAAATTAAAGAAATGTGTTTAAGTTAAATAAATGCAGTACATATAACAACAGAATATGAAATCTGAAACCTTAAAGAATTTATAAAAAGCATTAAAACTGAAAAAAAAAAAGAAAATTCAAAGAGGATACTCTTTAAGAAAGACATTGAGGATGTTCTTATAAAATATTAACAACACAAAAATCCAGACTACTAAGTCTTTCAAACTTTCATGGAATCAAATAATCACAAATTCCTTCAATGAGACAAATCAGAACCTAAACCTAAAACTTAATAAAAGATACCTGGGTACTCAAATGTACACACAGGCACATGCATGCACAGACACATCCTATATATCAGACTCACTAATAAACATAAATACAAGTTTTAAATATAATTCTAGCAAAATATTCAACAATGCAATAAATCCTACTTAGTCTAAGTAAGAAAAGGATAACTCCTTAAGAAAATCAATATACCATCTCACTAGGCTAAATAAATTCTGATTTAAAAAGATAATAAATGCAACACTTAATTTTTGAAAATATAAAAACAGAATTCTTCCTTAATTTAATAAAAAGTACTTTTATTAAAATAAAAATTACTGTTGTACTCAATGATAAACTTTAGAATTTAAAGATTTCAAATTCAACAAGGTAAAATGAGCCATCAGTATAGTTACAAAGGTCTTGAAAAAGAAATAAAAGGAATAAATTTTGGTAACAAATAAAATACTACCACCTGAAGATAATATAAATTAATAAATAGAAAATTCAAGATATTAATAAGAATTTAATTACATAACATGATAAATGAAATATACTGATGTCTTTAATAGTGTTTCTATTAAGCAAAATCAACAGGATCAATGACACAAAGGGAACCTATTCACTATAATAATTCAAGAACAACAGCAAATATTAAGAATCATTTTAAGAAATATTCCGGAGTTTTATAAAAGTAACCAAAGAAACTATATTGCTAAATCTAATACAAAACCAAACCCACTGCCATTAAGTTGATTCTGACTCACAGCAACCTCCATTGGGTATCCAAGGCTGTTAATCTTTACAGAAATAGATTGCCTCATCTTCCTTCCACAGAGTAGCTGGTGGGTTTGAACAGCCAACCTTGGGGTTAGCAACCAAATGCCTTACCCACTACACCACCAGAGTTCCTTTACAAGTATTTTATTTGTTACAAATTTAACACAAGGTATCGCTAAATAGGGAGCTCTGATAGCATAGTGCCTAAGGCACTCAACTGCTAACCAAAAGGCTGGCTGTTCAAACCCACCAGCCACTCCTCGGAAGGAAGATGGGGCAATCTACTTCCATAATGATGCTGCCTCGGAAACCCAAGGAGGGGTTGCTATGAGTCGGGTCCAACTCGACAGCACATAACAACAACAACAATCGCTAAATAGAAGAATATACTAAATTTCCTAGAAGCAAACACTAAGTTAAAATCACAAAAGATTTGTTGGTTAAGAAAGGGTTACAACAGGGTGACTACTAAATATTCATTTCTTTAAAAAAGATAAATGATCAAACAATAGCTTAAAAACAGAAAAGCAGCAAGAGAGTTACAGGTAGATTCTTTACTATAATATGAAAATTTATTAATGAACAGTAATACTAAAGATGGCATAGAAGGAATCGAGCATATAGCAAATTTAAAAAAGATGCTAAATTTAATATGCAATCTTGCAAGTTTTTTAAAAGAGGATGCATAAGAGTTGTTTAATAAATGGTATAGCTGAAAAAAGCACTGTAGAAAATAAGTTGTATTTATATTTCAAACAGAATCAACTCAACATGGTTGAGAAAAATATTTTTAAAAGCAAATTACAGAAAAAAAAAAAAGAAAAGAAAAACAGAAACCAAATGATCAATGGCAGAAAAGCTTTTTGAGCTTTGAAGTAAATAATTCAGGAGAAGATTAATCAATTTGAATATACAGTAATAAAAATACAAACTCAAAATATGTAAAACTAAAAAGGATAATAAATTGTATTAAATGCAAAAAAGAGTTAATACCTTTAAAATTATGAAGCTTTTATTCAAACTTTTAAAACATCAGTACCCAAATAAGTAAATGGGAAAAGGATAAAATAAACAATTCAACTAAAGGAAAATATAATATATGCAGGGAAGATTATTTCTTTTTGACCAGGATAAAATTTTTTAAAATGCAAATTAATCTTGAAATATTTTATTTTTATTAAAATAGTAGATTCTTTTTTAAGCCTACCATACAATGATGACATTGTTGCAATGAAATTTACTCCTGATGGCCCCAATATGGCTGTGTATGGAGGAAAAACCAGGAATAATATTCATATACTTTTATCATATAATTTACACTTCAAAGAACTGTATCTCAAGGAAAAAATTTAATGAAAGCAAAAGAACACTCAGATGAAGATGTGAATATATCAATGCCCCCACCTTTATCAATAACTCCCAGAATTCCCTCCCATGCCGTTTCTCTTTCCTCCAAATAAACATAACTTATCCCACCCACCACCACCAATAAGCTTCTGGTCTCACTGCTCCACTAAAACTGCTCGTCAAAGTCATCAATGACCTTTATATTGCCAAATGTACAATTTTCAGTTCATTATCTTTTTTAATCTCTCAAAGTAACATTCAATAGAGCTGAACATACCTTTCTTTAATACACATATTTATCATTTATCTCCAACCTCCAGCCACTCTCTCTCTCTCTACTCAAAATCTATTAGAACTCCATAGAATTTAATCAAGACTTTTTACACATTCTCTTTAGGATATCCATTCATATGTCTTTAAATATAATCTACAAACTGATGGCTTCCAAATTTGTCTTCTCAGAGCTCTAGATGTGTGTATCCACCACTGCCTCCTGGAAAAAAATCTCACTTAGTCTATCTTAGCCATCTCAAACTTAACATGTCCAAAACAGTAGTCTTGATTTCCCCTCTACCCAACTTGTTCCTCTCAAAGTCTTCTGACCTTCAATTAAAAGGTACCAATTATTCAGCACACGATTAACGTCAAAAAACTGAGTCATATTTGACAATCTTTCTCTTTCCCTCCCCACCCACATTCAATGCAGCAGTTACTATTACCTCCAAAATAATTCTGAATCTACTTCTCTACATATCAACTGAACTAACCTATTCTGAACCACCTTTATCTGTCAAAGGACCACTATAATAGCTTTCTACCTAGCCTCCTCTTCTATTCTTTCCCTGTCAACAATTGATTTCAGCAGCCGAAATGATCTTCTGAACTTCAATCACATGGTATCACTTCCTTCTTAAAACCCTTCAACAGCTTCCCTTGCACTTACCATGGCCAACAAGATTCACGCCCTCCTTTTCAACCTTATCACACTCAACTCTCCCTTGATCTTGGAGCTGCAATCACATAGATTTTCTGCCCTAAATGATTTCCTAGTACAGAATCTTGACACTTGCTGTCTTCCTCTACCTAGAGAATATTTCCACTTCTTCATATGGATGGCTTCTTCTCATACTTTACGTCTCAGCTTAAAGCTCATGTCAGCAGAGTCTATGTTCCCTTTCTAAAGTAGGTCACCCCTAAGGCAGCCATCTTTTTATTTCCTTTATAACACCATGCACAGATTATTTAGTAGTTTACTCTCTATGCCTCCTATTGTGTAAATTCCACAAGGACAGAAACATCTTGTCTATCTTGTACTCTGTTACATCCCCAATGCCTAGCACAGTACCTGATGTATAGGAATTGCCCAATAAATATCTGTTAAATTACCAAATAGCAAAATATTGTCAACAATCAAGGTATCTAATGGTAAATGTACAGTCTAAATGCATGACGTCCCTTCAATATGGCAGAATATTTTGCAGCTATTAATATGATTACTTTTAAATGTTTCTGATATTTTATAATATGAAAGCACCAGAATATAAAGTAACAGTCTGCGTGAATTATGATACATAAACATCTAAAAAAAAGTATGTATTTCTTAAAGTGTTTGCATAGGGGTAACGTGATTATGTTCTTGTTAGATGCCATCAATTCAGCTCCAACACATAATGGCCCCATGTACAACAGAATGAAAACACTGCCAGGTCCTGTGCCAGCCTCACAATGCTTGTTTTGTGCTATGCTTGAGCCTACTGTTGCAGCCACTGTATCAATCCATCTTATTGAGGGCATT